CCAAGAATCAACCAACCTTCACCCAAGCTTAAGCCAAGAATCAACCAACCTTCACCCAACTTTCCCCCAAGATTAAGCCAAGAATTAACCAGCCTTCACCCAACTTTCCCCCAAGAGTAAACCGAGAGTCAACCAGCCTTCACCCAACTATCACCCAAGATTAAGCCAAGAGTCAACCAGCCTTCACCCGGCTGCCACCTCAGGTTGGCCATGCGTGGGTCAGTTTTTCGTTCAGCCAAGGATGGTTGAGTGAAAAACTGACCCATCCTCCCCACTGTGCTTTTGTATTTTGACAGAGTGTGGCGACTCCCCCAACCCCCCTCCCCCATCATCAGAATAGACTGACCAGTGCTGTAGCCTGCAGAGCTGATCATGTGGAAATACACCAAACAGGCTGGCTGAACAGAGGTTGATGGGTAGTTTGTGACTTCTGTTCAACCACAGCGGATACGGCCGGCTTCAGATACATCCACATTTCACATCGCTTTCACTCAAGATTCACCCAACCTTCACCTAAGATTCACACATTTCCAGTGGAATATGGTGTACTGTATATAAAGTTGTAGGAGTAACGTGAAGAGAAAAATGGCACACCTGAGAACGAGGGACACCTATCAGCAAAGGTAAGTAGGCATAGGACACACCCCCTCCCTGCCACGCCCCCTTAAAGGAAAATTATATTTTAAAAAATGATTGGTTATACCCACAAGTGCTTGTTCTACCACGAATATTGCTTTATCCCGGCTTTTGAAATTTACAAATGCAACAAATTAGAAATTGGATGGAAGGTTCAGCGCCGGGAAATGCTTTCTGAAAGATAAAAAGTGCGTTTTACATACAACTATAGAGATCAGAGCAAAATGAGGAGGAAAGAGGGACATTGTTCCAAATCAGGGACAGCCCCTCGAAATCAGGGACAGCCCCTTCGAAATCAGGGACAGCCCCTTCGAAATCAGGGACAGCCCCTTCGAAATCAGGGACAGCCCCTTCGAAATCAGGGACAGCCCCTTCGAAATCAGGGACAGCCCCTTCGAAATCAGGGATAGTTATATACAACAACTATAGAGATCAGAGCGAAATGATGAGGAAAGAGGAACATTGTTCCAAATCAGGGACAGCCCCTCGAAATCAGGGACAGTCCCTCGAAATCAGGGATAGTTATATACAACAACTATAGAGATCAGAGCGAAATGATGAGGAAAGAGGAACATTGTTCCAAATCAGGGACAGCCCCTCGAAATCAGGGACAGTCCCTCGAAATCAGGGATAGTTATATACAACAACTATAGAGATCAGAGCGAAATGATGAGGAAAGAGGAACATTGTTCCAAATCAGGGACAGCCCCTCGAAATCAGGGACAGTCCCTCGAAATCAGGGATAGTTATATACAACAACTATAGAGATCAGAGCGAAATGATGAGGAAAGAGGAACATTGTTCCAAATCAGGGACAGCCCCTCGAAATCAGGGACAGTCCCTCGAAATCAGGGATAGTTATATACAACAACTATAGAGATCAGAGCGAAATGATGAGGAAAGAGGAACGTTGTTTCAAATCAGGGACCGGCCCTTCGAAATCAGGGACAGTTGGGAGCTATGAAATAATAGGCAATGTAAAAAATGTTTTTTTTTTTTGTGTTTTTTTAAATTGGTTCCATCACCAGGGACTCCGCGGGATCCTCGTTCTGCTGGGATTTGTACATAGATAGGAAGGGAGATTGGATTTACTGGTTTTATTACATTTCTTCAGTCACTTCCTGATTTCTGGCCTAGGCCAAAATGATGTCATACATTCCAGGAATCTTCATGGAAGGAGGGGCTTTCCCGGCTAAGCACACCCTCCCACCTACATGCCTGAGCTAAGGGCAGATGGATTCCAGGAAGTAAATGCTACATGAATCTGCCCTTACTCAAGACGGCTGCAGCTATAGGTGCTAAGGGGGTGTTTTTCTAAGTGATTTCTTAGCAAAATAAAACATGGAGACATGGCGGGATGGATAGAGACATGGATGGATGGAGACATGGATGGATGGATAGAGACATGGAAGGATGGATGGAGACATGGAAGGATGGATGAAGATATGGATGGATGAAAACATGGATAGATGGATGGAGACATGGAGAGATGGATGGTTACATGGATGGAGACATGGATGAATGGATGGAGACGTTGAGAAATGGATGGTTACATGGATGGATGGATGGATGGAGAGATGGATGGTTACATAGATGGATGGATGGAGATATGGATGGATGGATGAAGATGTGGTGAGAAGGATGATTACATGAATGGATGGATGGAGACATGGTTTGGATGGATGGATGGATGGATACGTGGAAAGAAGGATGGTTACATGGATGGATGGATGGAGCAGCGCGGCGCACATTTCCTCTCCAGAGAAAAGCCGTTTCCGATATTCTAGCGGGCTGTAAGTGGCCATTTATGGGAATTATTCTTTGAACCCTCGTAATACATATAATCCGCGTCCTAGTGCCGGGCCATTACAGCGTGCGGGGGAGGGGCGCGGGGGGGGGGGGGGGGGCGATGGGTTGAAAAGATCCCAAAATAAAAGCGGCTCGGTCCCGCAGAATCGCACGGATAATGAGGTGTGATAAATAAACAAATTACAGAAGTAAATGAAATGATTACGATTCGGGAATCCTATAATGTCCTCCTAATGACCTCAATTTTCCCGGATAATGACCGCGCGGCGCCGGGAGGCGACATCTGATCCTCGGCCTATCGGGTGCAACGAAGGTGAGAGAACAGATGGAGAGAGAACGGTGCGGGCTGAAGAAGAACTCTGCCATGGCCTGTCTGTATGGAATGCCGGTACCCCCCCCCCCCCTTGGGCTGAACTGGTTCCTCTGTACATGTAGTGCACCACCCACCGCCAACCAAATCACAATAAAGCTGAGGTGATGTCATCAGTCTTCTGCAGGCAGGAGATAGCATTTCCTCAGTCTCCCCTCCCCCAGTGATCAGACTGTACATTGTAACAAGTCTCAAGGTAATAGGATACAGCAGGGGCTGATCTGCGTCAGACATTTGTGAACACAGAACTGCACAAACACCAGGATTTACACGATTGTCATCTCTGAGCCGGCATCTCAGACCAGGAAGTAGAGAGCAACCTCGGATGATGCCTGAACAAAGATGGCGCCGTCTTTCCGGACGAAACAATTCAGCTGAATGCAATACCTGGAGGTGTTACTCCTGCAAGATACGGGGATTACGGCACTGTCCATTTTAAGGGAAGTATAAGAGGGTCTTAAAAATGTCATAAAGGAAATGTAATAACAATAATAAAAAAATGTAAATATATTATAATATAATAATTCTAAAAAAATATTTTTATATATAATTATATTATAATATATTTAATTATTATTTGCATGATTATTAATAATAATTATTAAAATATAATAAAATTATAAAAATGTAAATAATAAATAATACAAATAATTAAATATATTATAATTATATATATAAAAAATAAAATCAATAATAATAATAATAATATTATAAAAATGTAAATAATAAATACAAATAATTAAATATATTATAATATAATTATATATAAAAAAATTTAAATATATTATAATATAATTATAAAAAAATATTATTTGTATATATAATTATAATATATTTAATTATTTGCATGATTTTTATTAATTATTAAAATATAATAAAATTTTAAAAATATAAATAATAATAAATATAAATAATAATTAAATATATTAGAATATAATTATATATAAAAATAAAATCAATAATAATAATAATATAAAAATTCAAATATTTGCAGAAAACAAACGGATGCAATTCCGCATCAAAATCATAATTCTGAAAAACGAAAAACCTTCCTTAAAAAGGGCCACCTCTAAAATCTTGCAGACCCTCGTGTTCTCGACGTTCCCCGCTCCCCCCCCCCCCCCGGGCCTCGCCCATCTGTAAAACGGTTAACGGCAGCCGAAATAAAAGCGGGATTAACAAAAAACAAACAGGCGCGGGGCGGGGCGGGGAAGGTAAAGCAGCCTTTTCCCTGGGAGAGGAATATTATTCTGTACAGTAAAATATCATCCGGGAGACGCCGCGGAAAGAGATTAAAAACCAATAAATGCGGGAGAGAGAGCGGCGGTATAATTACAGGCTCACGCCGGCAGCGCCAGAAAGCACTCAAATTTTAATAGCGAGCGCCGCATTTAATTTAACAACACATTTTTTCAATTACTTGAATAATTGTTTTATTCATAAAATGACTTTCAATAAGGAGGGTAATTTGGCTCGGGGTTTTTGTTTGCGGCTTCAGGAGTTAGGGAGGGCGGGCTGGAGAGACGCGAGAGAAAAAAAAAAAAAAAGACGCCACGGGTGGATGGAAAACGCAAGGCGGTCGTGACGTTTGGTGGGCAGCCATTCGCTGGGCTGGGTCCCGCCCTCGCTGACACAGCATTGGGTACAACGGAGATCTCCTTTGAGAGAAATGAACAGTTTTGTGTTTCTTTTTATTAACCTTGTAAAACAAAAAGTAACAAAAAGTAACAATGTTACAAATGTGTGCGAATGTTTCATGAGGATTGTTATTATTGGATACATTCTGTCATTGGATGGACACATGGAGGAGGACATGCTGCTCGTTATATACCCGGGCTGTGCTTCCTGCCAGACGATAGCTGAGCTTTACCCGCTGCGAGACCCGCAAATACCTGCAGCTGCACCACCCACATAGAGGAACGTGGGACCCGCACAAACACCTGCACCACCCACACAGAGGAACGTGGGACCCGCAAATACCTGCAGCTGCACCGCCCACACAGAGGAACGTGGGACCCGCAAATACCTGCAGCTGCACCACCCACACAGAGGAACGTGGGACCCGCACAAACACCTGCACCACCCACACAGAGGAACGTGGGACCCGCAAATACCTGCAGCTGCACCACCCACACAGAGGAATGAGGAACCCGCACCGATACCTGCACCACCCACACAGAGGAATGAGGGACCCGCAAATACCTGCAGCTGCACCGCCCACACAGAGGAACGTGGGACCCGCAAATACCTGCAGCTGCACCACCCACACAGAGGAACGTGGGACCCGCACAAACACCTGCACCACCCACACAGAGGAATGAGGGACCCGCAAATACCTGCAGCTGCACCGCCCACACAGAGGAATGAGGAACCCGCACCGATACCTGCACCACCCACACAGAGGAATGAGGGACCCGCACCGATACCTGCACCACCCACACAGAGGAATGAGGGACCCGCAAATACCTGCAGCTGCACCGCCCACACAGAGGAATGAGGAACCCGCACCGATACCTGCACCACCCAAACAGAGGAATGAGGGACCCGCAAATACCTGCAGCTGCACCACCCACACAGAGGAATGAGGGACCCGCACCGATACCTGCACCACCCACACAGAGGAATGAGGGACCCGCAAATACCTGCAGCTGCACCGCCCACACAGAGGAATGAGGAACCCGCACCGATACCTGCACCACCCAAACAGAGGAATGAGGGACCCACAAATACCTGCAGCTGCACCGCCCACACAGAGGAATGAGGGACCCGCACCGATACCTGCAGCTGCACCACCCACACAGAGGAATGAGGGACCCACAAATACCTGCAGCTGCACCGCCCACACACACAGAGGAATGAGGGACCCGCACCGATACCTGCACCACCCACACAGAGGAATGGGGAACCCGCAAATACCTGCAGCTGCACCACCCACACAGAGGAATGAGGGACCCGCACCGATACCTGCACCACCCACACAGATAATGGGGGACCCGCAAATACCTGCAGCTGCACCGCCCACACAGAGGAATGAGGGACCCGCAAATACCTGCAGCTGCACCACCCACACAGAGGAATGAGGGACCCGCACCGATACCTGCACCACCCACACAGAGGAATGAGGGACCCGCAAATACCTGCAGCTGCACCGCCCACACAGAGGAATGAGGAACCCGCACCGATACCTGCACCACCCAAACAGAGGAATGAGGGACCCGCAAATACCTGCAGCTGCACCACCCACACAGAGGAATGAGGGACCCGCACCGATACCTGCACCACCCACACAGAGGAATGAGGGACCCGCAAATACCTGCAGCTGCACCGCCCACACAGAGGAATGAGGGACCCGCAAATACCTGCAGCTGCACCGCCCACACAGAGGAATGAGGGACCCGCAAATACCTGCAGCTGCACCGCCCACACAGAGGAATGAGGGACCCGCACAGATACCTGCAGCTGCACCACCCACACAGAGGAATGAGGGACCCACAAATACCTGCAGCTGCACCGCCCACACAGAGGAATGAGGGACCCGCACCGATACCTGCACCACCCACACAGAGGAATGGGGGACCCGCAAATACCTGCAGCTGCACCACCCACACAGAGGAATGAGGGACCCGCACAGATACCTGCACCACCCACACAGATAATGGGGGACCCGCAAATACCTGCAGCTGCACCACCCACACAGAGGAATGAGGGACCCGCACCGATACCTGCAGCTGCACGCCCACACAGAGGAATGAGGGACCCGCAAACACCTGCAGCTGCACCACCCACACAGAGGAATGAGGGACCCGCAAATACCTGCAGCTGCACCACCCACACAGAGGAACGTGGGACCCGCAAATACCTGCAGCTGCACCACCCACACAGAGGAACGTGGGACCCGCACAAATACCTGCTCTCACTCCGGCGTGCGCTGCGATATGTAAAATGAATCGCAATCAATGGTTTCACCTGATTCGTTCATTTACTTTCGTATGTGTGTACATGGGGGGGCCACAAAACATTATTTTGGGGCGGAGGGGATGGTATGTGCTTGTGTGTAACTTTGTTTTCCAATTAAAAAAAATTTTTTTACTTAACTTTTTTTTTCTTCACATAGGGGACACAATGACCACTGTGATGATTTTTATGTGACAGGTTCTCTTTAATGAGACATCCGTGTTCTGAAAGACCCCCCAATGTCTCCTTTGGCCTGGATGCATGGCGATGCAGATTGCATTGCAATACATTTCTCCCCACAGGGAAAGTGACAACCATGACCCGGATGTGATGTCATACATGTCGCTTTCCAAGTCACAGTAAGAAGGGGAGGAGAGTGGATGTGTGTCCGCACTCCTCCCTCCCCTCCACCCCGAGATACCCAAACGGGTCCAATGCTAATTTTCCACTTTCCTCAACTGCTCAATGATACAGAGAACGGCGCTGGCTTCATTTCTGCCTCCATGACACCCTGCACTCTCTGTATGTCCTCAGTCTACTCAGTGTCATTCAATCCAGAAGACTGAGGACATCTAATGGCCAAAATGGGATTGCTGCAAGAACAGCGCAGAGGAGGAAGCCGGCCATGCAGCCAGAGACGCTTTATAAACACTTGCTGCGGCACTTATAGAAAAAAATGCCATTGGGTGACAATTCCCTCTAGTGCAGCCATTCTCAACCTTTCTACCCCAGAATGCCCCTTACATTGGGGGTCAGTGGGAAGAATGTCCCTTACATTGGGGGTCAGTGGGAAGAATGTCCCTTACATTGGGGGTCAGTGGGAAGAATGTCCCTTACATTGGGGGTCAGTGGGAAGAATGTCCCTTACATTGGGGTCAGTGGGAAGCTAATGTCCCTTACATTGGTGGTCAGTGGGAAGAATGTCCCTTACATTGGGGGGTCAGTGGGAAGAATGTCCCTTACATTGGGGGGTCAGTGGGAAGAATGTCCCTTACATTGGGGTCAGTGGGAAGAATGTCCCTTACATTGGAGGTCAGTGGGAAGAATGTCCCTTACATTGGGGGGTCAGTGGGAAGAATGTCCCTTACATTGGTGATCAGTGGGAAGAATGTCCCTTACATTGGGGGTCAGTGGGAAGAATGTCCCTTACATTGGGGGTCAGTGGGAAGAATGTCCCTTACATTGGGGGTCAGTGGGAAGAATGTCCCTTACATTGGGGGTCAGTGGGAAGAATGTCCCTTACATTGGGGGTCAGTGGGAAGAATGTCCCTTACATTGGGGGTCAGTGGGAAGAATGTCCCTTACATTGGGGATCAGTGGGAAGAATGTCCCTTACATTGGTGGTCAGTGGGAAGAATGCCCCTTACATTGGAGGTCAGTGGGAAGAAATTTCCCTTACATTGGGGGTCAGTGGGAAGAATGCCCCTTACATTGGGGGTCAGTGGGAAGAATGTCCCTTACATTGGGGGTCAGTGGGAAGAATGTCCCTTACATTGGGGGTCAGTGGGCAGAATGTCCCTTACATTGGGGGTCAGTGGGAAGAATGTCCCTTACATTGGGGGTCAGTGGGAAGAATGCCCCTTACATTGGGGGTCAGTGGGAAGAATGTCCCTTACATTGGGGGTCAGTGGGAAGAATGTCCCTTACATTGGGGGGTCAGTGGGAAGAATGTCCCTTACATTGGGGGTCAGTGGGCAGAATGTCCCTTACATTGGGGGTCAGGGGGAAGAATGTCCCTTACATTGGTGATCAGTGGGAAGAATGTCCCTTACATTGGGGGTCAGTGGGCAGAATGTCCCTTACATTGGGGGTCAGTGGGAAGAATGTCCCTTACATTGGGGGTCAGTGGGAAGAATGTCCCTTACATTGGGGGGTCAGTGGGAAGAATGTCCCTTACATTGGTGATCAGTGGGAAGAATGTCCCTTACATTGGGGGTCAGTGGGAAGAAAGTCCCTTACATTGGGGGTCAGTGGGAAGAATGTCCCTTACATTGGGGGTCAGTGGGAAGAATGTCCCTTACATTGGGGGTCAGTGGGAAGAAAGTCCCTTACATTGGGGGTCAGTGGGAAGAATGTCCCTTACATTGGGGATCAGTGGGCAGAATGTCCCTTACATTGGGGGTCAGTGGGAAGAACGCCCCTCACATTGGCGGTCAGTGGGAAGAATGTTTTGTTGACCCCAGGTACCATTTAATGGGCGGTCCATTAGCAACAGCTCAAGGGCCCCTGACAACCTCTGGAGGAACCTGGCTGAGAACGGTTTGTTTAGTTGCCAATTTACAAATAAAATTACCACTCAAGATCAAATTTAATACCAACAGCTGCGCTTGGTATGTGGCAGCCCATAAAAACTGGCGCCACCGCTTCCCCTTGACTTCAATGCAAATTTCGTTTTATTCCTGATTTCTGTATTGGTGCTCCTTACCTATTAGGCGGTGGAGTGGGGAAAGCCCTCCATGGACTGGAGAGATAATTCTCCTCCCTACAAGCAGTAACTCCAGCAGCCTCTTCTCCGGTAAATTGTTAACACGGCTTTATTTTTGCTCTGCGGCTTTCCATCAGCCTAATAACGGACTGCAGAGTCCTAACCGACTCCAGGGACCTCCGCCTGGCGATTGCAAGACTGAGCGCCTCCAATTACGCTTCTCCGACATGGATGCGCGCAGTTCTACTTAGAGGGACAACGTGCTGGAAGAGCCTTAACCCCCGAGCCCCCCCGACATATGGCTATTGATAGAAGTGCAATGGACAGGCAAGGCTTCGAGACGCAGAGCTCTGGTCAAACGCTCACATAAAGCTGTGCAAACTGACTTCCTGGGATGAAAAACAATCAAAAACTAATAAGAAGGCTGGAATCGCTTTCCTGGTGAAAATGCTGCTCTATGCTCCATCCATTCCTGGTCACATGACTAAAAACCTAGGGACTGGGCCATGTGGTCTAAGCTGAAGGTGAGGATCAGATTGGCTGGTTCTCCCTCTCTCCATAGACACCTGTGTGATCTGTCATGCTTCGGTCATCACTCAACCAGAGGAATCCCATTATCTATGGGGCCCATTCACAACTATGCAACACGTTTCCATGCAAACATGCAAAAAGGTTCTTTTGGTGCATTTTTGTCCCCGTTGATTTTAATGGGAGTGCATGAAAAATGCATGAAGAGCAGGCGTACGACCCTAGCCTAGTCCTTGTTTGTGTAGGCAGCACTGGAGGAAGCCTGAAGAAGCATTTTCTCCAAAAAAAAGGACAAGTCTATTATTTGCTTATTGTTCTGTATCAAATGTTGCTTTATGCTTCGATACCCAGTCTGTCTGGACAGTATGGTCTCCTGCTGACTTGGCACCATCTACAGGCAGCTTAACTCTTCAATAAGACACAGAAGTTGAATCTGATGCAATTATACTTCAGATAAGTCCATTGCAGAGCATGGTCATGCTCACATGGCCTACACCAGCTTTTCTCAACCGTCGAACACCAGAGGAGCCCATGAAATAAGTAGTGGCCAGAATGCTACCTTTACAGACAGCTAAAAAGAATAATGGTGTCATGCATCTGGCTCTGCCAAATAGTGTTGGTTCTGGAACTATGCAGACACCAATAAAATAGAAGGCCATTCAAAAACAGCTCAAGGAACCCCTACCGGTCTCTTGAGGAACCCTGGGGTTCCATGGAACCCTTATTGGGAATAACTGGTCTACACAGAAAGAATAGACTCATCTGACCCCTCACCTGTATGACCCTGGGAGGTGCACTCTCTCTACTATTGAGCTAAGATGACCTTTAATAATCATATTCCACCATAACCATCAAGCTAGGTGAAAGATTAAACAGAAGCACCTTGAGACCTAACCTCAGACATTTCTATATGGAAGGTGAATCAGCCACAGCTCAAAGAACCCCTACCAATCTCTGGAGGAACCCTCATTGAGAATGGCTGGTCTACACAGAAAGAATAGATCCATGTGACCCTTCAACTGTATGCCCCTGGAAGGCGCACTCTCCTTACTATTGAGCTATCATGGCCTTTATTAGCCATCTTCCACCATAACCATCAAGCAAGGTCAAAGACTAATCAGAAGAACCTTGAGACCTAACCTCAGACATTTCTATATGGAAGGTCAATGAGCCACAGCTCAAGGAACCCCTACCAATCTCTGGAGGAACCCTGGGGTTCCATGTAACCCTCGTTGAGAATAACTGGTCTACACAGAGAAAGAATAGACCTATCTTACCCTTCAACTGTATGATCCTGGGAGGCGCACTCTCATTATTTAGCCATGATGGCCTTTAATAATCATCTTCCACCATAACCATCAAGCAAGGTCAAAGACTAATCAGAAGCACCTTGAGACCTACCCTCAGATCTTTCTATGTGGAAGGTCAATGAGCCACAGCTCAAGGAACCCCTACCAGTCTCTTGAGGAACACTGGAGCTCCATGGAAACCTTGATGAGAATAGATGGTCTACACACAAAGAATAGACCAATCTCACCCTTCAACTGTATGACCCTGGGAGGCGCACTCTTCTTACTATTGAGCTATGATGGCCTTTAATAATAGTCTTCCACCATAACCATCAAGCAAGGTCAAAGACTAATCCGAAGCACCTTGAGACCTAACCTCAGACATTTCTATATGGAAGGTCAATCAGCCACAGCTCAAGGAACCCCTACCAATCTCTGGAGGAACCCTGGAGTTCCATGGAAACCTCGTTGAGAATGGTTGGTCTACACAGAAATAATAGACCCATCTGACCCTACAACTGTATGGCCCTGGGGGAGGTACTCTCATTATTGAGTTTAGATGACTAAATAATCATCTTCCACAATAACCACCAATCAAGGTCAAAGACTAATCGGAAGCACCTTGAGACCTACCCTCAGATCTTTTTATGGGCTGGTCACATGACCAATGACTATGTACTGGTCACATCATTAGCCGGACAGCGCACATAGAAGAAAACACGACTCCACTCATAACGGCACCCGGCCCGTGAAACGTCCTTGCCAATATCTCAGTTAATCAGTTAAACATGGAGACACCTTTGATGCTCCTTCCAACTGACAGCTGCCTAATCCCCGATGTATTCCACAGAAATGATATCTAATTAGAAAGAAGAGGAAAAAAAGCACAACAAGAATTACCATATTAATGAGGATTTGTCTTCCAGATTATAGAAAGAAGCGCACACATTTAACCCTACCTGGGCACAGTCTGATCCATCAAAGACAACGGGCAGCCGACTCAAGGCACCCGGAGGGCGGCCTACTGGTGGAAGAACGATACGACGCCACCTACCGCAGATGGAAATCTCGCTATTGTTATCAGTGTGTTTCTTTGTATTCCAGGGATGTTAAAAAAAAAAAAAAAAAAAAAGCATAAATTATCAAACGAAAGCAAACAACAAATGAATGTTCTCAAACACATTGCAGTAAACAGACAAAAGGTCAAACTCTGCGGAATCGTACAACAAGCTGGGCCAGGTAGGCAGAGGCAGCCGATAACGTAATCTCCGGGTTTATCTACCGCTGATCTCCAGACAGAAATAAAAAACATGAAGCTTTGTAGTTATAAGAACATTAATAAATGTATTTTTTTAAATTATTAATTGCTTTAAATACCATATATTGACCCAGTATTAGCCTTTGAAGTCCAACTACAGCAGAACTCAGACTGGAAGAAGGGGAAGTAAAGCTTGCTTTGTTAAAATGATACCCCCACCCCCAACCCAAGGGCTGCAGTGCTACTGAGAAGCTCTATTTCCTGTCCCTGTGCTCCAAAGACTGGATAAGAGGAACCGGTTGTCATTGTTTGAATGCTAATTCTGCCCAACATGCCAACAACCCAGCATGCAATGAGGGCGCCTGAGCAGCCAACAAGAGAGATGAGGGAGAAGCAATACGAGGAGCTGTAAAGGGACCAGGAGTGACCGGTTGAAAGGCACAAGCTCCGAAAAGACCCGTTCACATCCACAATGCAGATGTTTTGCTTTCAAGAGTCCTTGACTCTTGACCTTCTGCCCAACAAGCCAACAGCCCAGCATGCAATGAGGGCGCCTGAGCAGCCAACAAGAGAGATGAGGGAGAAGCAATACGAGGAGCCGTAAAGGGACCAGCAGTGACTGGTTGAAAGGCACAAGCTCCGTAAAGACCCGTTCACATCCACAATGCAGATGTTTTGCTTTCAAGAGTCCTTGACTCTTGACCTTCTGCCCGGACAGCCAACAAGCCAGCATGGAATGAGGAAGCCTTAGCAGGCAACAAGACAGATGTTCAGGAATTTTACTGGACCTTCCATACATCATTGGTGTGCAACCGGATTCTTTCGTCTTGAGTGTAGCATGGGGCAGGTGAGCTCCTGGGTTTCGGCACCTGACGGGATGAAGGTGCTTTCTACGGGGTGTGTTGGAGTGGCATCATACTCACAGATCATCCAACAAGAGAGAGGCTGCACTGAAAGTGTTCCATTGTTGCCAGCTGGAGCAAGGTCTAGGTTTCTAGGGTTCAAGGGGCACATGGAAGCATCAAACAGTAATTAACACGGTAGACCAACTTTCAATCAAGCACATTTAGGCCAACTCTACTGGAGAAGGTTGTTGACACACCATAAACAAACAGCCTCGTCAATGACTGGAAGCCTAACACTGTCTACGGGTAGCCTTGCAGTAGTGTACTCAGCTTGGGTAGTAACACACACACTGGCGCCCTTACACCAGGGATCAATGCGGCTAATTAACAGCCCTGTTGAGCCCCGGGCCCATTTACTGTAAACGATCCCTTTTCCATGTGCACTGTGATGTCTCCGGCGACATTGTAGCAGCCCGTGTTTCTCTGGAGTCGGATGCTCTATTAGACGGTCTCTGTGGCTCGTTAATTACATTTCAGGAGTGATTTGGAGGCTGACTGTGAAGGGGCTGAGTGGCACACCAACCATCTTCATCAATTGCTCCCGCTTAATAAGATGCTCCTGAGACACTAATAGATCAGCACTTGTTGGCTGAACATGACAGCTTCGTATGATAGATGGTGCCACACGCTGGCTTCTGGTAGACCTGAGCACACAGCCCCTATCAGTCTCTCGAGACCTTCCGCCCCTTCCATGCCGAGCTGCATGCTGCCTGGGCCTACTGCACAGCCTCTGTTGCCTAAGACACCGTCCTCGGCAATCCAG